GTAAAGACCACACAAAGGAAAAATTTAGTCCCAGAACAGAGAAAGACTAGCAAAGATTCTCCCAGTCCTGCCCTCTCCCAAATAAAACAAGAGGTAACTGAGAATAGAGATTAAAGAAAGAGTTCGGGTAAAAAAGTAGTAAATCAACACTGCTTTCCAAATTAAATAAAATTAGCACTCAAGAGAAGCATACAAAGAAACATAGCACATCACAGAAATGAAAGCCTCAGGATACAAGGTAAGTCAGGAAGGCCATGGTGGGCAATAAACGGGCATGACAGAGTGAAAAGAATAAAAAGCTTAAATGTCACTACGACAAACAAAACAAAACACATATCAATAGAAGTAGTAGGTAAACCAGCATATGCACAGCTGGGGTCTAAAAAAGCCAGTCAAGCAGAGCAAAAAAGATGTGCAAATCTGGACAGTTAGAGAAAGCAGATGGAGGCACGTTAGCCAGAGCCGTAATCTGGCTTCTTCAAACCAGAGCAGCCAAGGTGGGGGAGGGGGGAAGCAGACGCTCGTCAAGGGGCGCAGGTAGCCAAGAGCGTGCTGAGGCCCTGGTGGCCAGCGTTACTAAGTTGGTGCCTTTCCGCTGCAGGTCTGTCCTGTTCGCTCGTTGAGGGATCCCTGGTTCCTCCTTGGAGAATTGTATTTAACAGCCAGGGCTAAGGGCTAGATGTGCTCGTCGTGGTTGGGACAGGACTGCTGCCAGGTCCTTCCAGTGGGCAGGGCTCAGCTGTGCTTGTGGCCACCCCAAAGCACTGTGCCTGCTGGCCGTGGCTGTTCTCTTTCCTCATTTCTTTTCTCCCTCCCTCTCTCCTCCCCAACTTCCCTCCCATCCTCTCCTCCCTCCCTCCCCCTTTCCCTCCTTTTCTTTTCTTATTTGAAGTAATAGTGCTTTATAACATACATTTCATGTTCGTGTGTGTTTAATATATTCCTTTTTTTAATGTTTATATATTGAAAGCATCGGTTCATGCTGATTCCTCCAGCTCCAGTACAAACCAAAATATTTATGTTTTTCCCTTTCCATACTTTTCCTGCCTGTTCTAAATAGTTTCTGCCATCCGCCGCATCAAGACAAAACATACAAGACTTTAATGAAAAGGAACGTTAACACAGTGAATATACAATACAGAAGACAGAATATAATTTCTAAATCAAACCCCCAAAGTTACCCATCCCCTCATGGGTCAAAGTCCACCCAGAAGGGCTTGGTCCAAAGAGAGGCCTGAAAGCCCGCCATATGCCTAAAGCACCTTCTGGCCGGGACCCACAGAAAAGGGTCAGGAATGGCCAGACAGGTCTGGAAGGAAAAGAACAACATCAGTCAATATAAAAGCTGCGGTAGTGAACCTCCCCATGGGTCTCTCACCCACATCTCTTTCAATCAGTGCAGGGCCAAGAAATAAACACGGTTTCTTCACATGTCTCCCTTTGCTCCATGTGGCTTTCTCAAGCCTCCTTCTGGCTCTCCATCCTGCTTCCCTCTTCAGATTCCTTCTCTTGTTTTCTCTGCTCAATTCACCCTTCTTCTGGGTGGGGCAGGGAACCTGGAACTTCCCCTTTTCTTAGGGACCACCCTGTTACAATATTACCAGTAGTGTTGCAATAGGTAACCATGTGTATTTTTATTTTATTTTTGTCATCATTGTCTTTGAGGTGGTTTTTTTTAGAATGACAATATCAGGACAAAGGGTAAAAGTATGTGTAATTTTGTCTTTTGTTTCCAAATCCTTTCTGCCTCCAGCAGTGTGTGAATGTGTCTGCTTCTGCCCGCACACAGCCTCACCATTAGAATATGTTGTCAAATTTTTGTCTTAGCAGTGAAATTCCATCTCTTTCAGAATCTTAAGATGTTCCCCCTTCACCTTGCCTTGGCACTTTAGACTCATTTTAAGCACTTACTTGCTTCTTTATATGTCACCTACTTTTGGAAATTAGTTTCCTCCTTGGGATGTTTTTTCTACTTCTTCACTTGAAGATCATTTTCCTTAGTGGAAGAGAGCCATACAGCAGCTCAGACAGCACTTCTGTGCTTAAGACAGAGAGGGGAGAGCTGGGGCTAGTTCCCGCTTGGATCCCTTCTAAAAGGAAAAGATGTTTTCTAAGAGAACCTGCCTTTTGTAGCAGGCTGGTTGATTTTTTTTTTTTCCCTCGGGGAAGATTGGACAGGGTAATATAGATTTTGTATTGCTGGAAATGCAAGTTTCTGGTTTCTGTTTCACTTTTAAACATTTTGTACATTTGTTGCTTGCATAAAAATAAAAATTAAATTGAAAATAAATAATTTGAATAAATAGATTACCAAAAACACCTCCAGACCCACTTTTCAGAGATAATTGCTATCAACAATTTGGTGTGTATTCTTTTATGTGTGAATTGAACACTTACCTGTTGTCCTTGTTTGTTACCCCAGGTGGGGTCACAGACTCGCATAGATAGGCGCTGCTATGCAGTGAGGTGCTTTCCACTTGGTGGTGTATTGTAGACACTTCCATGGCAGGCCCTGCCTACATGCTCATTCTTTCTAACTGGTGCGGACTCTGTGGACTCTGTATCGCTCCTCCTCCCTTCAGTCCGCTCCCTCTTGATGGTGGCTGACCTCTGCAGACTGCACCATCTGGGTGCCGTTGCCCTCTGGCTTCAGTTGGAATCAGCTACTGAAGGTCCGCGTGCTGGATGAATTGCTACTGCGTGTTAGCTCATGCTCGGCTCCTGCGGCTGTGGCCCTCTGGGCCCCTTCTGCTCGCTGCTCTCTTGGCTTTCCTCCGTGCACTCTCAGCCTGGAAGGAGGGGCAGCTCCCCACTCTCGCTAGTCCCTGGCCTGTGTCCTAGAGTCTGACCCTTGCCCAGCTCCCACGGCTGCTAAGACCCCATTCCCTGCCTGGGGACTCCTCCCGCACAGTTTGCGAGAGGACCCGGCTGACTGCCCATGTAGGTGTGCTGCCCTTTATTTGTTGGGTTAAAATGACATCGGAGTTGTTTCTAGTATTTTGCTCTTATAATCAATGTTGCTAATGAACATTCATGTAAATGTCTTTTAAAATGTTCGTTAGCATGTTACTTCAGGAAAAACTGGTAGAAATGAACGTTGTACATTTCAAATTGCCTCTGAGAGAGTTTCCCCGCTTACATTTCTAAAATGTGTTATATGTTTGACTGTCTTTGATGCTAAAAATTATAGAGACCATGCTTAGGACTTATAACAAATTTAACTCAAAAGTATATAAGGGAAAAATACTTCTTATTGTCCCCTCACTTCTTGATACTTGGCTATGTATCATGTCATGCCTTTAAAACATTTATGTTTAAAAATCTTTATGTAAATTCACATATAAATATAAATAGATTTTCATTTATATCTGTATCTGTATATCTAGATCAATATTGCTCTCTCCATCGATCGTGAGAGCTCATTTCTAGCCTTTACTGTTTCTTTGATCTCCTTTTGTCTTTCCTGTGTCGGTCCTTGCCTGTCTGAATTACTGCAGCTCGAAGTTGGTTTTGATATCTGGTATGGAAAATGTCATTATTTTTCATTTAAAAAATTTTAATTCCTCTTGGGCATAAATTCTTCAGATGAACTTTAGATCCAAGTTCACAAAAATCTACTGGTTTTGGCTGGAGTTAGACTGAATTTATAGAGAACTGACATTTCAGAAGAAGTGATCTATTTCCAGTGTTAGATCTCATTCCACAGCTCTTTATAAGTCCTATGGTAAAAATCTTGCGTATTTCCTCCTAATTTTATTTTTATTTTATGCATTTCACTGCCATCACAAATGAGGTTCCTTCTTACATTTTTCTAATAGCTATTGCTAATACAGTTTTTAAGATGTTGATTTTCATAAGTTGATCCTATAATCACCTACTTTATTTAACCTCTTAAAATTCTAATTTTTTTTTAGTGGGTTCTTTTGCTTTTCAGGATGGGGAGTGATACAGTCTTCGCTGATAACCTTTTAGTTACTTTCTGCTATTTATATATAGTTTCTTTCTCTTAAGTTATTTCATGGCTGAGATATCTGAGAGGGCAGGGAGTCTTCTTGGCTGATGTTTCAGGTGAGCATCAAAAGAATGTGCAACAAGAGAGAGGCAGGGCACCTAGGCGGTCCAGACAGGCCTCCAGGGAAGAAGCAGTAAGGCCACGTCGGGGATGGAAGAGTGGACGGAGCATAGGATGCAGATGCTTTATGAGCAGCAAGAGATGGGTTACAGAGTAAATAGGGCCTTGGCCAGTGGCTGCAAAGCTTTGAAGAATTTCAAATTTAGTGAAAGGCATGTGAAGCAAAATGACCTCCCAAATACTCTACACCCAAATCCCTAAAATATGTTATTTTGCCTATTAGCAAAGGGGCTATGCAGATGAAATCAGGTTGTGGGTATGGCGCTGATGGCCCTTTGGTTTTCACCTTATGAAATTCTATGCAGAGGCCCAGCTGCGTGCGACACCTGCACTATCTTCAGAACTCTGAGATAGTAAATCGGTGTTGTAAGTTGCTAAGTCTGTGGCTTTTTGTTATAGCAGCAATAAAAAGCCGGATACAAAGGGGTTTAAGCAGGGAAGTAACTTAAGATTTTGTGTTGCTGACAGCCCACTTGCTATGCTTGTAGAAAATGGATTTGGGAGAGTGCAGATTTGGAGGCAGGGAAAGTTGATGTGGGAACCGGTGGTGCCCTGGCCTAGACAAAGATTTATTTGGGATGTTGGAATTGGGGGGGTTTGGTGGTTGGATGTCATCGCTGAGGCAGTTGAAGGACAGACCCAGAATGGCTGCGGACTCAGACGCCGGGCTGCGGGGCTGGTGAAGCTGCCCTGTGGGGAGGAGGCGGCAGCGTGGGGGGTGCGGCGCGTGGCCTGGGTGTGACTCTGGGTGGCTCTTCACTTGGGAATTCTCTCTATGCAGACACACAGAAGTAGAGCCGATCAGTGAGATGAGCGCTTACCTTTGAAAACCTAAATTGTGTATTGTTCTTCTTTCCTTTTAGGTCATGTAGGGAGTCGTAAATCATGTGAAGATGGGACTCTTGGTCTTTGTGCGCAACCTGCTGCTAGCCCTCTGCCTTTTTCTGGTTCTGGGATTTTTGTATTACTCTGCGTGGAAGCTGCATTTTCTCCAGTGGGAGGACTCCAGTAAGTACGGCCGCCTTGCCTGCCTCGGGAGAAGCCCTTGCAGATGATGAGCTCTTGCGCTTTCGAGTGGCCGCGGTCCTGCCCCGTTCCTCAGGGCCTGGGAGAGCCCCAGCAAGGCTGGCCCGGGCTGAGGGCACCTCCTGCCACCAGGTGGCTGTGGGCTTAGTGGCTGTTGTCTCCTGAGGCTGCAAGCCGGGGCAGAGCCGCCGTGACCCCGGGAGATGCGCTGTTCGACCCTCGGAGATGCGCTGTTCTTTAATGAGACTCCAGACTGGACCAGCACTTCTAGTTCTTCTAGTTCAATGTTGTTCTTTTTAATTACTGTTCTTAATAGTGCTCCCTTTGCCACTTTCTTCCTTAGGGCATTGTATTGAAGTTGGTTTTCTTCTGCCCTTAAAACATTCTTTCCCTTATCCTTAAATTTTCCATTTTCACTTTTTTTTTAAGATTTATTTATTTTTATTCATACAGAACTGGGGTACAGGCCAGAGATGCGGAGGGTGAGAGGATTCACCAGGGACAGAGTGGGGAACAACAGGCAGATCGACTAAGTACACTGCTGAGGGGAGCAGCGGGCGGGCCAGGAGAGGTCTGCCACGCCGTGTGGTCACCTCCGGGGCAGGCAGGGATCGAACCCATGCAGAAGTGGCTTTAGCTTCTCAGTGCTGTGCTTTAACCCGCTGTGCCCCCAGGGAGGGCCCCATTTTCACTTTCTTTTATTGTCTGTTTTGTTTTCCCTCAGGGAACTTAATCTTTTCAGCCCTTCTGAACAGAGTCCTGCGGCTGTCCCTCCGGGCTGCTGATCCCTAACCCACGGTGCCTCTGGTGTGCTGTGTGACACTGAGCTTTCCACCTGCTGCCTGGAGCCCCTTGGCTGGATCCCAGGGCTTGCCCAGGGCACCGGCGGGCACCTTCTCCTCCTGCCATACTGGAAGTGTCACATGGTGACCGTAGTTTTCCTTGTGGCTCTTGTCTGTCAGCCGTCTAAGCTCTGTGCTGGAGATACTCAGAAAAATCTTTTCTGATACCCCAGTATGTCTTCTCAAAGTGATTTTACTTTTATAAACATCTTCTGGAAACCAGTGTAGAATTTTAGAGGAGATAGTCTCGAGATGTGAGAGTAAAATGAGTTGAAAGAGGCAGCTTGCAATTGACCTATAACTGCGTGGAGGCCTTCACAAGGGCTCTGTTTCTATGAAGAATTGGACTATTTCTCATCAAGCCACAGTTTACAGTGTAGTGTTGTATCTTTAATTTATTGTCTTACATGGAATGTTTAAGTGCCTCTTAAGTGCTTACCTTTAATTATCACTAACTTATGTTTCCCAAATTTATTTAAATTTCTCTGTATCAAGTTATTTTTTTAAGTCTTGGAGACTACCCAGGATAAGGAGTGTTTATATCAGTACAGTGTAGAAATACATAGTTGGAGACATTGTGTGTATCTGTAATGAATGAATTCACACATAACCATAAAACAGATGACCGTGGGTACAAGGGGTAGGAGTCGCTCTTGTTTTGAGAACCACTAACTCGCAGAAGACATGACCAGGATTAGAGGAAGTTCATGGCAGACCTGTCGTGTATCAGGTTTTAGGATAGACAGTTTATAAATTTACTTGAATTCCTATGATAATCATATGAAAATGCTATTCTTACCCTTATTTTCCAATTGAACAAACTTAAGTATTTAGTTTAATTAGTTTGCAGAAGTTACTTAGTTAATTACTAGAACTGGAATTGAATCCTGATTTTCTGTCTTTACAATCTATGTTCATTATTTTATTGAAAAATATAATGCATACTTATTTAGTTTAGTTTTGCATTCTAACTGGTAAAGAGAGAACAGGGCCTCAGAGAAGAAATAGCAGAGAGTATGGGGGGGCGGCAAGGAGGGGAGGAGGCCACCACTCCACAGAGGGGCTTCCATTGGCTGGCAGTGCTGCAGGCTTCCTTGTTGATTGCTGGTTCTCTGTGTCCTTTGCTTAATTATTAGTTGAGTAATTGCTTCCTAACCTTTCCATTATTCTAACCCTCAGGCCTTTTAGATATTTGTCCTTGAATAGATTGTTCAAACCTTTGTACAGTAGCTTATGATCTTCGGTGTGTTTATCAGCAAACAGAGTAATGCGCCCAGTCCTGGGTGACTTACCAAGTCCCAGATGGCGAATCTGGTTCATACGCAAGAAAAAAAACAAGTCTAAGATGAAATGGCCCTGATGTTGGGTTTAACAAAGTACTACTGTGAAAAAGTTTAAAGGAAGACACAGTAGAGTAGTAGTTTTCAGAGAGAAATGAAAAGTATAAAAAGAACCAAATGCAGTTTCTACAACTGAAAAGCATAGGAATGAATGAAGATTTCATGTAACATAGATTGTATTTTACTGAAATCAGTGAACTTGAAGAGTAATAGAAATTAACCAGTTTGAAGGAAGAAAGAAAAATTACTGAATAAAAATGAAAAGAACCTCGGGAACCTGTAGGTAGTCTCATTTATATGTCTCTCTATATAAGTGTAGGTGTGTATAATACCTAATTACATGTATATATATGAAATCAGCAAAAATAGGTGAAGAAATAATGAATGAAAAGTTTGATTGAAAAAAGGCATTCACTTACAGATGTAAGAAACTAAACTCTATAAACGATTATGGGAGGATCAGTCAATAAGCTATATTACAGTCAGACTCCTGAAATCTCAAAAAGAAGTGAAATTCTCGCAAGCAGACAGAGAAGGGGAAGCCTTACATATGGAGTAATTCCTGCTTAGAACACAATGAGAGACTTTTACAGTGTTGAAAGAAAAATACCAGAAGTCTGTCCTCCTAGAATTGCTTATATCCTTTAAAATGAGGATGATATACAGTTTCAAATAAGGACAAGAAAATGTGTTGCTGACAGAATTTTGCTAAAAAAGATTGCTGAAGGAGATCCCTTAGCCTGGTGGGAAGTGCTAGCAGGCAGAAACTTGGCTCTGTGGGAAGTGAGTGTCCCTGGGCCTGGCGAGTATGAAAGACTCTTCTCAGAATTTGCTTCAGAAAGCTGAGACTTAACCCGTGTCACCAGGGAGGCTTGACAGTGATATTATTTTTATCTCCCATATTGACAAATATTTTAGAATGATACTGTCCTGCACAGGTGTCAGCAAGCCATTCTTCTTTTTTTTTAAAGATTTATTTTTATTTATTGATGCATGTAAGAGCTGGGTATAAGCCAGAGGTGCAGGGGGTTGGGGTGGTGGTGGTGAGAGAATTTACCAGAGACAGAGTAGGGAGACGAACAGGCAGACTGGGGGGAGCAGCGGGGGGGTCAGCAAAGGTCTGCTGCACCAGGTAGGTCAGCTTCCCTGGCTGGGATTGAACTTGTGCCACAGTGGATGATGCTGTCTTGATAGTGCTGAGACTTTAATAACCCCTGTACCACCAGCGAGGCCTAAGCCATTATTCTTATATACCATGAATGGATTTCTGGAAGGTAATAAAGTGTTTTCAAAAGTTCAAATATATGTAACTTTGATCTGGCAGTGTCCTATAATAGAATACAAGCGTGCAAAGATTTTCTTTGCAGTGAGTTTGCTGCCAGAACACAGGTGTCTGGAAAGCCATAGTTAAACTAAGCCAGAATGGGAAAGGAGAAGAATGGGACCGTCAGCATGGTCATCGCTGGGCATGTCGATCAGAGCAAGTCCACCACTACTGGTCATCTGCCCTACAGATGTGGCGGGATCCATGTAAGAAGAATTGAAAAATTCCAGGAGGTCCTTTGAGCCTGTCTTGGGTAACTGGACAGCTGAACAGGAGCGTGGAATCACCATCCTTGTCTCCCCATGGCTATGGGGAACCAGCAAGTGTCATGTGACCATCGTTGGCGCCCAGGACACAGACACCTTGTCAGCACACATGGAGGCACTCCCCGGGCTGTGCTGTTCTGATTGTGCCTGCTGGTGTGGGTGAATTTGAAGCCAGCATCTCCAAGAATGGGGACCCACGAGCATGCCCTTTGGTTCATGTACTGGGTGTGAAACAGGATGCGCAGGCCACCTTCTAGCCAGAAGGAATACGAGGAACTGGTTGAGGAAGTCAGCACCTACATTAAGAAAATTGGCTTCAGTCCCAACACGGTAGCATTTGTGCTGGTTTCTGGTTGGAATGGTGACAGATTGCTGGAGCCCAGTGTTCACATGGCCAAGTAACCTGTTACTTGCTTCAGGGTGGAAAGTCACCCACGAAGATGCATTGCCCGTGGAACCACGCTGCTTGGCGCTCTGGCCTGAATCCTGCCCCCAGCTCCTCCGGCTGCTGCCGTGTACCTGCCGCTCTGAACCTCTGCAGTTGGTGGTGGTGGGGCTGACCCTCTGGGCTGAGTTGAGACTGGTGTTCCCCAACCTGGTACTGTGGCCCTTGACTTCAGTCACTGTTACAACTGAAGTCTTAAAAGGCACCATAAAGCTTTGAGGGAAGCTCTTCTTGAGGACAGCGTGGTCTGTCAGAGGTTCATGGTGGCAGTGTGACAGCAAAAGTGGCAGCAGCTGGCTGTGAAGTCAGGTGATTATTCTGAACCTACCAGATCAGTGCTGGCTGTGTCCCTGGGCTGGGTTGACACCCAGCTGATACTGCTTGTAAATTCGCTGAGCTGCATAAGATTGGTGGTGGTTCTGAAAAAAAGCTGGAAGATGGCCCTAAAGTCTTGAAATCTGTTGATGCTGCCATAGTTGATACGGCTCCTGGCAAGCCCAGGGTAGTTTCTGTGACCGTCCTCTTCTGGGCTGTTCTGCTGGCTGGACATGAGGCAGCCACTGCTGGGGTGTCGTCCAAGCAGTGGGCAGGGAGGCAGCCGGGGCTGCCGGGCTCACCAAGTCTGCCAGGATGTGCAGAGTGAACGTTCTCCCCAGAAGCTGCCACCTCAGTCTGAATCGGGTGGAAGAATGGTCTCAGAACTGTAATCTCAATTGGCCACTTAAGTTAATAGCGCATCATCAAATCTTCAGAAGCAAAGATGTT